TGATAAGAGTCTGCATTAGATTTTGGGCATGGCCTCTTCATTCTGTGGTTGTCACAGCCCTGTGTGGGACAGGGTCTGCTCCCCAGTTTCTGTAGTAGAAATCCTTAGATCTGGCCCTAAACTGCAGTGTGAGGTAGGTTGTGCTGGAGCACTCCCTCTGGGAAAGTAGCTATGACACATTCTTGCCCAGGAGCTGTCCACCAAGATGTGAGATTCTGTGATGCCACCTAACACAAAGTGTGCATGCCCACAAATATCACTCTTTCTGCCACTGGTCTTGAGGCAAACTCCACTAGTGACCTCCAGTAATTGTCTCAGTTAGCTTTGGTATGCAAGGGTGTTCAGAAAGCTACTGGTGCAAAAACTCATCAGAATCATTCCTGCACCTGCATTGTGAGCTCTGATAATAGGCTCAGGCAGCCCTCAGACATGCATATGTTGTCCAGGTCCCAAAATCTACCAGAGCAAGTAACCACCAGAGATTCTTCTCCGTGCCCACTGTGGGAGACCTGGTAATCAGCTCACACTTCAGCTCCCTCTCAGGGTCATTGTGCCCACAAATTACACAGAACTCTTGGGGACTGGAACATGGCCCTAATGTAAGCACACTGATAATGAGGCTGCTATTGCAGACCAATGTCCCTATGTTCCTGTTGACAATGGGACTTCTATGGCAGATCCATGCTTTATCCGGCACTGAAATCCAGTTGTGGCCTGGACCAGACTCCAGCCCTTTGGACTGTCTCTGTATGGCCAAATGGAGTTCTCTCCACAGGTCTATCTGCTGAACTCTGACTTTCAGCACCCAGTCACTGCACTCACCAGCAAGTGCGCATCTCCAGCTGAGAAGTGCAGTGACATGGTAAGGACCATCTATGGTGGCCTCTCTCCAACTTGTGGGACCACAAGCCAGCTCCAACACTCTCCTCTCCAGCCTCTGATCCTCTTTACCTGTCCTGTGGGACCTGCTCAGGGTGAAGGAACTTTTCCTCTTTCACAGATTTCTCCCAAGGGTGCAGGTGCAGCTCTGGTTCTTCTCCTATTCTTTCATTTTATCCTCCAGAGTTACATGAGAATATTTCTTGCAACTTTGGTTGTGTGAGATCTGCAAGGTTTCAGTAGATGTTCTGTGAGAATTGTTCTACATGTAGTCTTTTTTATGTATTTGTGAGGAGGAGGTGACCTACACATCACTCTATTTCACCATCTTAATGTCCTCTCTCATTTTTCATACTGAGTCTAGCCTATGGTTTGCCAATGTTGGATATCTTTTCAAAAAATAAGCTTTTAATTTGTTTTTTTTTCTATTGTCATTTTGGCTCAATTTATTTCTGTTCTAATCTTTATTTTTTCCTTCATTTTATTGCATATGTGCTTTCTTTGTTTTTCTTTTTCTAGTTACTTTAGATTTAAAATTAGAAAGTTTATTTGAGATTTTTCTTGTTTTTTTTCAAATAAGGCGATATTGATATTCACTTCTTTCTTAGTACAAATTTTGCTGTATCCCATAGATTTTGATATGCCACATTTTCATTTTCATTGCCTTCAGGTAATTTTTTTTATTTCTCAATTGATGCCTCCATTAATATGGTATTTGTTCAGTAGCATGTTGTTCTGTATACACATATTTGTGTTTTTTTAACTTATTTTTCTTGTTATTGATTTCTAGTTTCATTCCACTGTGATCACAGTATATGTTTGATATGATTTAAATCTTCTAAAAATTATTGAGAATTATTTTCTGTCCCAACATATGGTCTATCCTTGAGAAAGTTTCATGTGCATTTGAGAATAATGCTTATTCTGCTGTATTTGGATGGGATATTCTGTACAAATCTATCAACTCTATCTGGCCTAATATTTTATTTAAGCATACTGTTTTCTTGTTGGCTTTCTGTTGGAATAATCTTTCCATTAATGTGAGTAGTTGTTAAAACCCCTCCTAATATTGTATTGCTGCCGATTTCTCCCTTTAAGTGTGTTAATATCTGTCTCATACATTTTGGTTCTCCTATGTTAGGTGCACATTTATTAATTGCTTGCATGTCTTCTTGATGGATTGATCCCTTTATTATTATATCCTGTCTTTTTTGTCCCTTGTTAACACTCTTTTGGCTTGAAGTATATTTTGTCTGATGTGAGTATGGCTATACCTGCTTTATTTTGGCTTCCATTTCCTTCCAGTATCATCTTTCATCCCTTTACTTTAGCATATGTTTGTCTGTAGAGCTGAGATGTGTCTCCTGGAGGCAGCATATACTTGGGCCTTATTTATTAATCCATCCAAAAGACTGTGTCTTTTGCTCAATTCAATCCATTTACGTTTGGAGTAATTACTGATAGATGAGGACTTAGCATTGTCATTTTATCTTTTGTTTTCTAGTTGTACTATACCTCCATTTTTTATTCTCCATTGTTTCTCTGTCATTTTTTTCTTTAGTGGTTCTCTATGATATTTTTCTCAGTTTCTTTTTTATGCTTTATGTTTCTAATTTTATGATTCTTTTGGTAACCCTGAGTTTTGTTTAAAAAAACTCATGGATAAGATAATCCCATTTCTTCTGATAATATCTTATCTTCATTTATCTATATGGTTCCATTCTTTTCCTATTCCCTTCTTATGTTTTGTTGCCTCAAATTATCCCTATTTATGTTGTGAGATTTTTACTAATCTGAAAAAGGTATTGTTATTTTTCTCCATTTCTTTTCTCCCTTTAACCTTCATGCTAAAATAAAATATTTACAAACCTATTCTGATACAGTTACAATTTTCTGGTATGTATATATATATATCTGGTATATATATATATATAATTTACTTATCTTGCTCAAAGTTTTCTGTATTTTTGCCAATATAATTTTGGAAGAAGAGCTACTTTCAGCATCTATGAAAGGCAGGTTTAGTGTTGGAGAACTCCTGAAGCTTTTGTTTTTCTGGGAAAGTATTTCTCTTTCATATTTTGATGATAAGTTTGCTGGTCTGTATATTTTCTGTTGAGAAATGTGCTGATAGCCATTTTAGCATGAAGGTTAAAGAATTCTTTGTATGATATCTTTTTTTTTCATGGCTGCCTTTTTTTTAAACTTTTTTTATTGATTTATAATCATTTTACAATGTTGTGTCAAATTCCGGTGTAGAGCACAATTATTCAGTTATACATAAACATATATATTAATTGTCATATTTTTTCTCTGTGAGCTACCATAAGATCTTGTGTATATTTCCCTGTACAATACAGTATTATCTTGTTTATCTATTCTCCAATTTTAAAATCCCATCTATTCCTTTCTACCCTCCCACCCCTTGTCAACCACAAGTCTGTATTCAATGTTCAAGAATTGGTTTGTTTTGTACTTATGCTTTGTTTGTTTGTTTTGTTTGTTTTACTTAAATTCTACATATGAACGATCTCATATGGTATATTTCTTTCTCTTTCTGGCTTACTACACTTAGAATGACATTCTCCAAGAGAATCCATGTTGCTGCACACGGCATTATGTTGCCATTTTTTATGGCTGAGTAGTATTCCATTGTAAAATTATACCACCACTTTTTATCCAGTCATCTCTTGATGGATGTTTAGGCTGTTTCCATGTCTTGGGTATTGTAAATACTGATGCTATGAACATTGGGGTGCAGGTGTCATTCTGAAGCAGGGTTTCTTTTGCAAATATGCCCAGGAGCAGTATTCCTGGGTCATACGTTAAGTCTATTCTTAGCCTTTGAGGAATCTCCACACTGTTTTCCACAGTGGCTGCACCAAACTGCATACCCATCAGCAGTGTAGGAGGGTTCTCCTTTCTCCACAGCCTCTCCAGCATTTGTCATTTGTGGATTTCTGAATGATGGCCATTCTGACTTGTGTGAGGAGATACCTCATTGTAGTTTTGATTTGCATTTCTCTGATAATTAGTGATATTGAGCATTTTTTCATGTGCCTTTTGACATTTGTATGTCTTCCTTGGAGAATTGCATATTTAGGTCTTCTGCCATTTTTGGATTGGGTTATTTTTCTCTTATTGAGTCGTATGAGCTGCTTATATATTCTGGAGATCAAGCCTTTGTCGGTTTCACTTGCAAACATTTTCTCCCATTCCGTAGGTTTTCTTCTTGTTTTATTTCTGGTTTCCTTTGCTCTGCAGAAGCTTGTAAGTTTCATTAGGTCCCATTTGTTTATTCTTGCTTGTACTTCTATTGCTTGAGTAGACTGTTCTAGGAGAACATTTTTGAGATATATGTTAGATAATATTTTGCCTATATTTTCCTCTAGGAGGTTTATTGTATCTTGTCTTATGTTTAAGTTTTTGATTCATTTTCAGTTTACTTTTGGGTATGGTGTAATGGACTGTTCTAGCTTCATTGTTTTACATGCTGCTGTTCAGTTTTCCCAACACCATTTGTTGAGGAGACTGTCTTTACTCCATTGTATATTCTTGCCCCCTTTGTTGAAGATGAGTTGACCAAAAGTTTGTGGGTTCATTTCTGGGCTCTCTATTCTGTTCCATTGGTCTATATGTATTTTTTTTGTACCAATACCATGCTGTCTTGATGACTGTAGCTCTATAGTGTTTTCTGAATTCTGGGAAAGTTATTCCTTCAGCTCATTCTTTCTCTTCAGTAATGCTTTGGCAATTCTAGGTCTTTGATGGTTCCACATAAATTTTGTTATGATTTGTTCTATTTCTTTGAAATATGTCCTGGGTAATTAGATAGAGATTGCATTAAATCTGTAGATTGCCTTGGGCAGTGTGACCATTTTAAGAATATTGATTCTTCCAATCCAAGAGCATGGAATATCTTTCCATTTTTTAAAGTCTTCTTTAATTTCCTTCATCAATGGTTTATAGTTTTCTGTGTATAATTCTTTCACTTCCTTGGTTAGATTTATTCCTCGGTATTTTATTACTTTGGGTGCTATTTTAAAGGGGATTGTTTCTTTACTTTCTTTTTCTGTTGATTCACCATTATTGTAAAGAAATGCAACTGATTTTTGAACATTGATCTTGTAACTTGCTACCTTGCTGAATTCTTTGATCAGCTCTAGTAGTTTTTGTGTGGACCTTTTAGGGTTTTCAATATATAGCAACATGTCATTGGCATTTAGTGACACTTTTACCTCTTCTTTTCCAATTTGGATCCCTTTTATTTCTCTCTCTTGTCTGATTGCTGTGGCTAGGACTTCCAAGACTATGTTGAATAAGAGTGGTGATAGTAGGCATCCTTGTCTTGTCCCAGATTTTAGTGGGAAACTTTTGAGGTTTTCACCATTGAGTAGTATGCTGGCTGTAGGTTTGTCATGTATAGTTTTTATGATGTTGAGAGGTATTTCACCAAATTTGGTATAGAGGTGAGTTTTTGTCATTAATAGGTGTTGAATTCTATCAAATGTTTCTCTGCTTCTATAGAGATGATCATGTGGTTTTTGTCATTACTCTTGTTGATGTGATGTATTACTTTGGTTGATTTGAGTATGTTGAACCACACTTGTGTCCCTGGGATGAACCCCACCTGGTCATGATGTATAATCTTTTTTATGTGTTGTTGGATTCTATTTGCTTGTATTTTGGTAAGGATTTTGGCATTTATGTTCATCAATGGTATTGTCGGATGATTCTATTTTTTGGTAGTGTCTTTGTCTGGTTTTGGTGTCAGGGTGATGCTGGCCTCATAGAATGAGTTTAGGAGTATTCCCAACTTTCAATCTTCTGGAAAAGTTTGAGAAGGACTGGCATGAATTCTTCTTTGTATGTTTTGTAGAATTCCCCAGTGTAGCCGTCCAGTCTTGGACCTTTATTTGTAGGGAGGATTTTTATTGCTATTTCGGTTTCATTTCTAGTGATTGGGTTGTTCAAGTGGTC